TTATTACTACAAATGTGAAAATAAGCGTGTACTATAAGAAATGTACCAATATTCTAACTAAACGTAAACTCAAATATCCGTAATTCCGATTTATAACAAAACCGTTACGCTTTCGAGTAATTTTGATGCCTTTTACATAGACAAAATTAGCTTTTGTTTTGTTATCTTCGTAAAAACACATTATGAAAATTCGAACTAATGTTGTTTCGGACAAATGTATTTTCTGACTTCTGATAGGTAATCCCATGCCGTAAAACGAGTACAACAATATTTTGTTAGTTATTGCTAACGTTTAATAAAAAAATTATTTTGAAAATAGGATTAAAATCAAAGCAACTCTAAAGTTTCTTTGTGCTAAATATTTCAATCGCTTGTGGTTCGAACAATTGAAAATGACCAAGAAGTTTATATAAGCTTCTTGAAACTGACGTAATGGGTCTCTTTCCATCTTTTGCGCATGCAATGAGTAGAAAAGGGACAGTTAGCTATTTCATTATTTCGTGTGCTTTTGTAATTTATATTTACGATTCGTTATATATAAATTAAATACTATAAAACTGTACAAAATAACACTTTTAAATGATAACTATGATAACACAATACATTTGTTTAGTGAAAATATGATACAAAATCCTGTTTTAAACACTTTACTGTAGTAATTTTTACAAGTTATTATTTGTACTGCATATATTGGTACTGCATGATTGACAACCGCGCTGTCACTCGAACAAACGAAGACTATTGCGCGATTGACGCTCTGTATGCGATTTTAACGCTCTACAGGTGCGGACACTTTTTAGCGCGAACCCGACGTCCATTTATTGATAGGTCAATGCAGCCGGGCTACAAATTTTAATTAAAGAAAAATATTTGGTTAAATTTATTTTTTCCACATTCTATGGTAAAAATACTTTTTTCCATCCTCTAAGGTTAAAATATAATTATGTATATTTGGCCAGTTCTATTCTATCTCTTTGTATTTTGTTTTGTAGCGTTTGTTTGGCTTTCGTCTAAATATACAGATGAAGAAACTGTATGGTTGAACCCTTGCCTACCCTAAGAAATGAGTAAAAATTTATAAAAGAAAATTGCGTTTGTTGTCATGGTTTGTTTATATGGTTAGTTATCAAAATACACATTAATTAATGGTTGTGTTTCATTATTTTATTTACTCGTAGAAAAAGTATTGAATGCAATCATTACATAATTAGATCTTCAAATCTCGTACCCTATTACTTAGAGAATTCTCATTATGCAACGATTGCTAAAATACTATTAATTTTGCATTTGATGGCGCTCCCTCACCGAGAACATCCACCTGTAATGTAACATCCAAGATCCGATTAGCTGCGATTCCACCAGAGATGTACGAGGTAGCTAGGCGTGCGTGCGAGTGCCTCTGAGAGCCCGCGAGTGTTCGCGAAATCCAGGAGAGCTCGCGAGTGCCTTCGAGTGCCTTTAAGTGCCCTTTGAGCGCCTTTGAGTCCTTTTGAGTGCTGTTGTATGCCTTTGAGTGCCCGTGGGTGCTGTTGAGTGCCCTTTGAGCGCCTTTTGAGTGCCTTTTAGTGCCTTTGAGTACTTTTATTATTACATTACATTATTTTCCTTTGTTTTATTTAATAATTTTTTAGGCTTATTCCCCTATATTTATTTGAGAGCCTTTGAGTGCCAGAGAGTGCCTTTGAGTGCATTGAGTGCCTTTGAGTCACTCAAAGATACTCGCTGGCACTCAAAGGAACTCGCGGGCACTCAAAGGCATTCAAAGGCACTCGCTGGCACTCAATGGCACTCAAAGGCACTCGCTGGCACTCAAAGGCACTCGTAGGCAAATAACTTAAGTAAAGACTTGAAAACATTTACGCTATATCTGGTGGAGTCGCAGCCTTACAATCTGAACAGATTGTTACATTACAGGCGAATGCTCCCGGTGAAGGAGGCTACCGAATGTTACAAGCATTGCACAACGAATGCTCGGTTCATCTCCCTCGCCGCTTGTAATGTTCGCTTTTGAAGGTTACATTACAAGTGAATGCTCGCGATGAAGGAGCGCCCGAATATTTTGTGTCATATGAGTGAATAACATATTTATCTATCTATCTAGATAGATAAATATGTTATTCACTCATCTATCTATCTATCAGTTTTACTAATTAATCAGACTCTACACGGGATACAATTGCGAATAACATTATTTAGTTTACCAAATATGAAAAGGGTTGAAATTATAAAGTATTTAGGTGTTAAAACGTCATGGGTATAAGTTTTTTCTGTTTTCTCCAATCGTATTAAACAATCAATAGATACATATTGGTCTATACGTACAGTACTTTTGTGGTACACCTACTTTACTGAAGTATGAAGATGAAGAATTGAAGTATACTCATTTCAATTAACATAAATAGGAAAGTAACTTACCGCGAAGAACAAGTTCGCAAAGAACAAGATGTATTTCACCAAAAATTCACCGCAACCCATCTTAAGTGCTTTTTTAAATCTAAAAGTAGAAAAACTAAAAAATGTCCGTTCCCTATTACAGGTCCACCAATGGCGATAGGATTATAACGACTGATCGATAGCAGCAGCGATACTAGCTTATTAACACAGTGATAACACCTTAACTTTGTGGCATTATGTATGTACGTTGTATATTTCAAATAAAAATGCTGTGTAATTTATTACATTTGTAGGAGCGCAGGTCGCTGGCCGTTCGGTATAATATGTTGGGTCGCAGATTTGCACGATGTACTAAACAGGTAAAAATTACACTATTTAAAGCTTACTGTCAAGTGCTGTACACGTGCAGTCTGTGGGTCGCGTATTCGAAGCGGACATTCAGCGACCTGCGTGTTCAATATAATAACGCATTCAGGGTGCTGATGGGGCTACCGTGGAGGTGTAGTGCTTCGGGGATGTTCGCCGAGGCTCAGGTGGATGGTTTCATGGCCATCGTGAGGAAAAGGTATGCATCTGCCCTGAGGCGCCTCCGCGGGGGCTCCAACGGCATCTTGTGTGTGTTCACAGATCGGTGGGACTCGCCACTTCTGCGTAGACGCATTGAGATCCACACCGTCATTTAGTTGTATTGTCCTTTTTAATTATATAAAATTTAAAATATTTAAATTATATCAAATTAACTGATACTAACACTAGATCTTAAGTTATTTTGTTTATAACACTATATGTATATTTATATTATGATATAAATATATATAATATATATATATATATATATATATATATATTATTAACTGCCTCCGTGGACGAACGGTTACCATGCCGGACTGCCACGCAGAGGTCCCAGGTTCGATTCCCGGGCCGGGAGAAATATTTGTATGGCCTACATTTATTTCTCTCGTGAGTTTGGGTGTAATTTGTGGTTGTCTATGTGTGTGTCCATGGCACCCGCGACACAGGGTTTCCCTAGTGCGGGGCTATGTTGATTATGAGCGTTATTATTATTATTATTATATTTGAATTGTATTTTTTGAAACAGTGGTTGCGAGAAAAAATATTATTACAGTGTAAATGAAGTATTTCAATAAGTATTTCTATGTGCTTGTTGCAGATTTTTGTTTTTGGTTTGCAACGACTTTTTGCCCTAGCGCCATCCATTAAAAACCAAAAACAAATCTGCAACAAGCGCATATAAAAGTTCGTAAGGTCCGCTAGTTCGTTCCGTGACTTAGTTGGCATAGCATCTGACACGGTTTGCAAGAAGTCGTTGGTTCGAATCCAGCCAGTTCGAAGGAAGTTTTTCTAAGTGTAATCTTTGTGCTATTATTTTTTTTTGATGAAAACTAATGACAGATTACCTATATTAATACGAGGAATAAAAATAAACTAGCTGTCCTTGATAGTCGTCTTCACAAAGTCACAAATTCATTTAAGGGGCAATGTATTCTATAAGATTACTTTTTCATATTTTTGTTTGTGGCTTTACGAGACGTAATTGCACTCATCATTGATGTCAGCTCACCGTCCCGCCAGGAGGAAGCGGCAGCCGGCGATCGATAATAAGGAACGGCGTTTCTACGAGCTTTCATCTAAGTATCCCAGCCAGATGGAAGTACCGGAGTGCCACTCGATGCAATGCTTTTTTTTTATGAAGGTCAATTTGCAGTTTTTGTTGCCCTTTAAGTCGTTAGCTATGTCGCAGAACACTGCTACCGGCATCTCCGGCACTAGCCCGGAGAGCTAGTAGAGGAAGAGCTCGACATTCTCCGGTCCTTCCAGTCATGTAGGAATTTGGGAACTGGAGAGACGCCGTTCATTCCGCGTTGGGAAGTGAGCGTGTCTTACAACTACGCCACTAATGAGGAGATTTGGTAGGCTTAGAGTTGACAGCTCAGCGGTGGCAACCGTTAGTCGGGAAGTGAGCGTGCCTACAGCTCTAAAACCTATCTAGAAAATAGGGAGGGTGCTGTACGTGCACTCAGGGCGGCTCACCTAAGGCACTACATTTATAGGAAACCGGATGAAGTCCGTACAAACGGGCTGATCTGGGGTTAAGACCTAATTTGGATGGTCCTTGTGCGGGCCCGCTCGCACAGGGACCATCAGGGGCACTATATACAAAACTTATGTAGAAAGATATGGGACTGTCCGGCGATTCGGTTGACCGAGTCGACCAAATAAATTTTTATGAATCAGTGACCGTGTCTCACCACGATGCGCGTGTTTTGTTACCTACCCGATCGGTTTATTGAACGGTTCAAACATGTTTCAAACGATTTGTTGTGTCTCTGTGCGTAAACTTATATTTATTATGAGCTGGTGATTTCGGCGAAGGTGGTAGTCGACTATGTGTAAACAGCAGCGCGTCGACTCGCCGCCTTCGTCAACCGAATTCGCTTGCCAAAGAGGTGGCAGTCGTCTTTGTCTAACCATGTTTTTATACAAACTGAGTCAGCGTCCTTTCTCAGCTATGATAAAACAAATGTTTTTAATTTTGCATTTAATATTTTGTGTCATATCAGTGAATACAGTGTTTATCTACATGTCTAGATAGATCTGTCTACCTTTCAGTTTTACTTACTAATCTCTCTCTCTCTTCAAGGGAAACAATTGCGAATAACAATTATTTCTATTACCAAACATGAAAAAGCTTGAAATTATAGAGTATTTAGGTATTAAAACGTAATGGGCGTGAGTTTCTTCTGTTTTCTCCAATCGGATTTAAAAAATCAATAGATACATCGACTCATCCGAAGAACAGAGTCCGATGTTATTATATAGCGAAAAGAGAATAAGTACGTTACGAGAATAATTTCGTCATTCAAACTACAACCTATGTGCCTTCACATGTTTTGAAAATTTATCTGATTTCGTTTCGGAAATATAAAATCGAACAACTGTCGACCTGACATTCACAGCGAAGAAAAACGAACGAAATGTACTATGTTCTGAGAACAAGATCGTTGTTCTACGGATGAGTCGACATGTTCGTCTGTCTATACTTTTTTATTTTTATATTTATTGAGAACACTTGAAAGCTTACAGTATTTATACTACCAAAGAGCTTGCAAGTCAACGTGATTAAATAAAAAATAAATAATAAAAAAAAAACAAAAAATAATTATCTCGCCGCAATCCGCGGCAGTTTCAAATTCACCGCAGCGAAGATATGGAATGTTTTGCTGCCGCCGCTACTCCGTAGTCCGCAGTGCACACGTTTAAAAGTAAATATAAACAATAACTTTTAGATATTCAAAAAAATACTGCCGGACTTGATTTCAATTAATATTAAAGGAATTAATGCATTCAAGAATGAAGTGGAAGATAAAAAAATATAGTATATAATAGTACTAAATAGGAACATATTGATAATCAGTTCAAAGGCGATTTGCATAACGACGTCTGATTGTAGTTTACGACTTAACAACTACAACAAAAAATTAAAATAATATTTTCTTGAAGACAACATAGTGTTCTGATAGAGCTAACTGAAACAAAAAGCTATATATTTTTTTAGTAATTAAGTTACCTATTTAGTATTAATAACCATTTTTTTCAGATATTTAAATTATTGACACAATTTTAAGAATAATATGCTATGAGCATATTATGCTTATCATGAAGAAACAGAACAATCAATGAATTAAAACAAAATGGTGTTCTAATACAGCTTATTGAAATAAAAAGCAATATATTTTTTTAGTAATTAAATTAGCTGAAAAGCCATGGTAGCGTAAAGGTTTGGTCTACCGCCTCTCAAGCAGAAGGTCGTGGGTTCCAATCCGGAACTGGCACCTCTGAGTTTCTCAGAATTTTGTGCGATATTTAATTTGAAAATAGGAACTTCCGCAACAGCAATCAATCTTGTAAACGCCCGGAGATTGAAATAATGGGCAGACAAAACGCGCCATAGCAGAAAGAGTCCTATTGACGTTTTACTCCTTACCTAATTCTGCCAAGCAGTAATGTCAGCATTACTGTGTTTCGGTTTTGATGGGTAAGGGTGCTGGTAAAATTACAGAAACATGGAACTTGTCCACTTATGACTTAGGGTGATGAGCGCAGTGACAGTACCCATCAGATCTGTGAGATTTAAAGCTATGAGTGGTACTGCAACTGTTATGGACAGGCGTGTAGCTTACTATCAGACGGTACGACTTGTTCGTCTCCTCACTTGATACTAAAAAAAAAAAAGAGTCAAAGAACATGTCGCGGTTGTTAGGAACCGTCAGGTCGATAGGTCTGCAATTGCCGAGCATTTCCTGGATTCAGGAGCAAACCACTGGATTGAGCTTTTTAACTTTTGAGCAATTTAACTTTTTTCAAAGTTAAATTGAAACAAAAATAGAGTTTAAAGCTTTTTACTGTGTATATATTTGTGTTGTGGCGTTTGTTACGCAAGGCGATCGTAAGGGAATCGCTGAATAAGCGGCGACCTGTAAACATAGTTATTGCACGAGGCGCATAATCGGCGTCAGCCCCGTACTCGAAGACAACGTGACCGCACTGACGGCATCGGATATCGCGGCATTCGTAATCCAACTTCGATTACTTATCGTCCATAATTTTTACATTGTAATTTTATTGTAATTTCTTTTAATAAATTAATTAAGTAAATTGATTTTTTTTGTAACTTCGGCTCGCAACATACGTAATTGGCGCAGTCGGTAGGATTCGTCAGGAATAACACCAGTAAATCGATTACGGGCTTCGACGAATCCAGAACCTACGGGAGTTGCAGAGCAGAAGGAATCCAGAAAATGATTCAGCAAAAGAAATGTAGTAAGTATTCTGAATCTTTCAAAGTCCTTTCTATCGTATTCTAATCCTAATCTATACTATATTTTATTTCGTTATTTTATCATTTTTGTCGTTTATTTTATTTGCTAAACTTTTTCGTGTGTGTAACTACAAGGTATATGTTCAAGATTTCTCGTTCGAAAAAATCGCGGAATATTAAAGTACGGAGTAATATTAGGTCTATTAATAGGAAGCTTTGTTCATTTGACGAGAGCCGTAATTTAGACGAAACCATGGCTGACTCTGATGTAGATGCTATTTATAAATCGCTCAGAGTAGTGCCTGAATTCGATGGGAAC